TTCCTTTTTGCCAGGGATCTGCAACTTGTGGCTCTACAGCAAGTAGCCTTATGGGCATCCACAAGGGTTCTTAATAACTTTGGCTAAAAATGTTGAAGAAAACTAACTTGTGTTTTTAAATATAGATACAATTAAAATTAGGGCTAAAACAAATCATCGATTTATTCGAATGGTTCAGTTAATTCAATTCTTCAATTGTAGGGTGACCATATTTCCAATTCTAAAAAAAGAGGACAGGAGATCTGTGCCTACCGATGACATCACACTACGGCAACACCACACAAACCACGTTGGGACCCATTTTTTCCCCAGGTGAAGAGCTAAAATTAATATCAGATTCTGCCAACAAAATGGCTCTAAAACAAATCATTTGTAAATATTTTGCATATTTATTGCAAAATCTCATTTTTCTGCTGCTTTAGTGCTGCAACAAGGTTTTATTAATAATAAATTATTATACGTTTTGTTTTACTACAGCATTGGTACGCTTCCTGTGCACAGATTATTAAGGATGCTTGTTTCAGCTGTGAGATTAGATGATAGGATCAATGAAAAAAAATATGTTTGTCATGGACTCCATGGAAACTTGTAGAGAATCCACAAATAGAGGTTTTCAGATGGTTTTGTTACTGACAGAATTTTGCAAATTTACAAAAGAAGCAGATGAGACGGCGTGCACGAGAATTTTGTTTTTCGTCTGACAATATTAGAACATGTCAGTGATGTCGGCGGTGTTTTTACAAACACTGTATTACTCATACTCCTGGACCGGGTAGGAATTACATAAAGGCTTCTGGGGGAACCCAGTGATGGGGGCGTGTTCTGTTTTGCCTTGGCCCCCTGAATGCCTTGAAACAGCCCTGGGTGTGTGACAGAGTTTTGAAGGTGATCTGAATTGTACCAGATGTAGAAATATTACATGTGTATAACTTGTTGTTTTATAAAACGTGTAGCGGAGTTAAATCTACCTACATTTGACTTTTCAACACTTTGTTTTGTTTTCTTGTTTTTATTTAACTATTTTCCTGTCCTGTCTGTCTCTCATCTTCCTGCTTCTCCTCTAAACTCTCCAGAAAAACTGCTGCATGGATTCTTACTTTTTCACCTCATCAGTTACTTTTGAGCAGATCAAAGGATCTCCTGACCGCAAAGCGGAGTGCGTGTTTCGATGCTGCGTCAGTGAGGTGGAGTCACAGCGGCAGACGATGAGCGGAGCGCGCCAGGAATGATTAAAGACAGAATACCAGAGGATATAAACAGATATGATCGATCAAGTGTTAATAATAAGGTTTTGTTGCCTCACCTTGAGAATATATCATGCGCCAGACGCAGCGGGCGCACCAACGATCAGCGCTCTGCGTCCTCTCTGCTCAACAGAATCCCACTACACTGAGAGTCCATAAATATTGTAGTACAGGTAGAAACTGGATCTTTCCCTGAAAGATATCTAGCCCCCCATAACTCAATACATTTGTATCAGCCAGTTGGAAAAAAATATGTTTGAGGAATTTTGGCCTTTCCAGGCTTCCATACCAGTTAATTGGTTAGGGAGGAAGGGTTCGTCTCACAAACAAGAAAAACCACACTGGTGAAGCAGAGTATTAAAATATTAGGAATCCTAATGTAGGGGAGGGGACGTGTGAGTGAGTCACCACGGTAGAAAGCCCAGCTTGCTCTGAGAGTAGCGAGCGATCTGTGGCTGATGAGTGAAAAGACAAAAACATTCAGGACTGAAGCTCCATCAAAATTGGCTGGCGACGTAGCTGCATTTCTAATTAAAAGCAAGTTTTTGGCGACTGGCACAGCCGCAGCTCACGGTTCTGGGAGGGAGAACCGGTGTGCTCCGACTAGCCGTGCTACCCATCGATATGTGCTACTTTGGGGAAATTCACAGACAGACTACTTCGTCACAGGCTATTTACCTGAAGAGACGTGCTAAATCAAGAAGTAGTTACATCACTGCTTGTATGTTTAACTGACAGTTGGCTTGTAAATGGCTTGTAGAATATCGTTGTTATTATACTGTAAACAAGACATTTCTCCCATTGTTTACCGTCATTCACGGAATCATGACATCATAAATAAATGACCACAAACGCTGTATATTTTTGTGAATAATTATACAACAGTTCTGTATTTCGTATGATCACCTATTTAAAATAAACCGTGCCTATAAGCATGTTACTATACTGTAAACAAGAGTGAAACAGTCGTAACACGCTGCGGTAGGATAATTCGACGAGGAAGCACAGATAGCCAGAACATCGACGCTGGTTCAGCGAGAGATTGGAGGTGTGGCGTGAGAGCGTGTGAAGAGGGTCAAATGCGTGTGTCTCACACTCAATGCGTGAGAGTTGGCAGTGCTGACTTGGTTAATGTTAGTGTTAGCTCTTTGTTAGGGCTAGCTACATCAGGCTGCCACAGGGTTGTTCACGGCAGTTGTTATTCCACTTTCAACCAATATGGCGGAGGAGCAGGAAACTGGAAAGGCTGTTACGGAAGCTATTTATGTTTATGTATTTAGCAGATGCTTTTGTCCAAAGCAACTTAAAAGTGATAATCGGCATATTGCCCTTGAAGCTAACAACAACAATAACAACAACAACTTGACATCAATAATGGAGAGGAGGGAACAAGGAGTGGACAGTAGAGATGGGGGTCGGGTGCAGGGAGGGTGCTAGTTTAGAAGATGCTCTCTGAAGAGCAGGGTCTTCAGGAGTTTCTTGAAAGTTGAAAAGGAAGCCCCTGTTCTGGTAGTGCTTGGAAAGTCATTCCACATTTGTGAAAAGATGCATGAGAAGAGTCTGGATTGTCCTGAGCATGGTGTAGGCACTGCTAGCCGACGATCCTGTGATGATCGGAGCGGCCGGGCTGGGACATAAGCCTTTGCAAGAGGATTCAGGTAGATGGGAGGGGTACCATCTCGGACTTTGTATGCTAGTGTTAGCAATTAGAATTTGATGTGTGCTGCTAGCGGTAGCCAGTGGAGCTCAATGAACAGAGGGTTGACGTGTGCTCTTTTTGGCTGATTGAAGACCAGATGCGCCGCTGCGTTCTGGACCATTTGAAGAGGTCTCACAGTACAGCCTGGAAGACCAGTTAGAAGGGCATTGCAGTAATCGAGGCAGGAGATGACAGTAGATTGCACCAGGAGCTGGGTGGCATGTTGTGTTAGGTATGGTGTGATCTTTCGTATGTTATACAGCGCAAAGCGGCATGAACGAGCAACAGAGGCAACATGATCTTTAAAGGTCAGGTGTTCATCAATCACAACACCCAGATTTCGAACTGCCTTTGCCTTTATGTTTATGTTTATGTTTATGTATTTAGCAGACACTTTTGTCCAAAGCGACTTACAAGTGATAATCGGCATGTTGCCCTTGAGGCTAACAACAACAAAAACAACAACTTGACATCAATAATGGAGAGGAGGGAACAAAGGAGTGGACAGTAGAGGGGGGCACAGGTGCAGGGAGGGTGCTAGTTTACAAGATGCTCTCTTAAGAGCAGGGTCTTCAGGAGTTTCTTGAAAATTGAAAAAGAAGCCGCAGTTCTGGTGGTGCTTGGAAGGTCATTCCACATTTGTGGAACGATGCATGAGAAGAGTCTGGATTGTCCTGAGCGTGGTGTAGGCACTGCTAGCCGACGATCCTGTGATGACCGGAGCGGCCGGGCCGAGACGTAAGCCTTTGCAAGAGGATTCAGGTAGATGGGAGTCGTACCATCTCGGACTTTGTATGCTAGTGTTAGCAGTTTGAATTTGATGTGTGCTGCTAGTGGTAGCCAGTGGAGCTCAATGAACAGAGGGGTGACGTGTGCTCTTTTTGGCTGATCGAAGACCAGACACGCCGCTGCGTTCTGGACCATTTGAAGAGGTCTCAGAATACAGGCTGGAAGACCAGTTAGAAGGCCATTGCAGTAATCGAGGCGGGAGATGACAGTAGATTGCACCAGGAGCTGGGTGGCATGTTGTGTTAGGTATGGTCTGATCTTTCGTATGTTATACAGCTCAAAGAGGCATGAACGAGCAACAGAGGTAACATGATCTTTAAAGGTCAGGTGTTCATCAATCACAACACCCTGATTTCGAACTGCCTTTGAAGGAGCCAGAGATGGGAAGTCATTTTGGATTGAGATATTGTGCTGTATGAATGGTTTTGCTGGGATGACAAGTAATTCAGTTTTAGAGAGGTTGAGTTGGAGATAGTGGGATTTCATCCATTTTGATATGTCAGAGAGACAGTTTGATATTCGTGCAGAGACAGTGTGGTCGTCTGGTGGAAATGACAGATAGAGCTTGGTGTCGTCTGCATAGCAGTGGTAGGAGAAGCCATGTGATCGAATGATCTCACCCAGTGAGGTGGTGTATATGGCAAAGAGAAGAGGTCCCAGTACAGAGCCCTGGGGGACTCCTGTGGCAAGATGGTGCACGGTAGAGGATTGTCCAAGCCAAGATACACTGAATGATCGTCCTGTGAGGTACGATTCAAACCAGGCATGTGCTTTCTCTGTGATGCCCATACTAGAGAGTGTGGACAAAAGGAAGCCATGGTTGACAGTGTCAAATGCAGCCGATAAGTCAAGCAGGATAAGCACTGAGGATTTGGCAGTCGCTCTAGCTTCTTTAAAATAGAGTTATTCATTATCACTTTTCCTCTAAACAATACATTCTCACACCCTAAGCATCGAAAATTGACGCGGTGTGACCAAGCGTTTGTTTCCGACACATTGGGTGCCCCTGCCCATCAGAGGCAACGCGCTGTGCCAGAGCGTCAGTATCCGATGCCTGTGGTAAAACAGAGATTTCACCGACATTTCACCTCTAACCTCTAGCGATTTAACCTTCCCCTCACCCTCACCCTAACCTTACCCCAGTGTGTAAATCTAAATTTTCCGTTAAGCGTGTGTAACCCACTCCAGGCCAGGCAATGAATACTAGGTCTGTCCTCAAAGCCAAAGTGCATGAATAAAACGCAATCAGACTTTAATTTCCAGAATGAACGTATTTACTAACAAAAACAGGATATAATAATAATCATGTAAAGTATTGCCTTTATATTTATTTATATATTATATTTTTATATTTTATATTCTTATGATACTATGACAGAAATTACAAAACACAACACCCCGTATGATTAATGGAAAAAGGTAACACAAAGTAAATCCCGTGATTTCCAGAGTCCACGATTTGTTTTAGAAGAGATCTCCTTTGACAGTCCAACCAGCAGTCTTTATCTCTCTTTATCCAAAGGTGAGACCATATAGTAGAGCTCCGGGAGTTGACGTCACTTCTCCGGGCATGCAACAGTTCAAATCAAAACGGTGCCACATTGGCAGGCAGAAGCCCGCAGCTGGACTATTTGTTATTGTCAGAAAACTCAATCAAACAGGAAATATGGTAGATTCCTGTTGTGCCCCAGGATGCAGAACAGACACGGACAAGAGCCATCTACAGAATTCCCAAGATCTGGAACGCCGCAAATGTTGGATCATTGCAGTAAAACGCGCTAGTGAATTTGCCAAACAGTAAATGTGCACAATGAAGCAGCTGCGGAGACGAGCTCAAGGTTAAAGAGTCGCTCCTCGTCGGAGCGTCCATGACCTGCTTAAATCCTGTTTGAAGAGGTGAGGCGAGCAATCAGTTCATTTGCTGCAGGTGTGATCCCTGATCCGCGTCCTGGAGATTCCTCCCCTCGATATTGCCGCTGTCTGTCCTTGTTGCGGGGATCCTCCCCCGTTGTCCCGGCAACCCTGCACCTCGTTGCAGCAGGAGCTCACGCCCCCACTTCTCCTCCAAGGACCCAAAGTTGTGTGAAGTCCCCGGTAACAGAGAAAACAATTACTCAAAGCCCATAACACCGGGCTAAAATGAAACTGTGGGATGCCAAGAGTAAAGGTTTTCACTTATGCAGCGACCACTTCATATCAGGTACTTAAACCAACGTTTCCTCAACTGTATATGGTATTTATTTTAAATGCTTTTATTACAATTCTTAGTGGGCTTCCTAAACTTATTTTGGCATGGCTTTTTCTGTCTTATTACTCATAGCAACAAGTAAACGTCACGTAAAACGTTGCCTCATGATTTCTGCGTGCTGCTGTTTACGTGTTTTATGATCACAGCAATTAACAGGCTAAGCAGTATTTAATTTTTAAGCAATGGTTGATCAATTGTCAGATCACACGTAAAAAGCACTTTGGATTGCTATTATCTATCTCACTGAGTCAGATCTCAGACAGATCCTGAGACGCTCCTGCCTGACATATTTATTTTACTCACGGAAAAAATCAGACTAGTGATTTCTCTTGGCGTTCAGTTTATACAATCAAACAGCACAACACTCTATTTAAACTACTTACATGTAAATCTGTGTTATTTGTCCATCGATCCATCCATTTTCATCCACTTATCTGGAGTCGAGTTGTGGGGGCAGTAGCCTAAGTCGAGAGGCCCAGACTTCCCTCTCCCCAGCCACTTGGGCCAGCTCCTCCGGGGGAATCCCAAGGCTTTCCCTGGCCAGGTCCAGTAAGAAGTCCGCTCCGACAGCTTCTGGCGTTTTTAAAAAGTATCCCAGGGGCATGGTAAGGGTCGGATATGTTTAGTCTATTTAATTTCTGACTATATAAAATGATTTCTTCGGTTTTAAAGTGTGAAATAAACTCAGACGAAGTAAAATCCAAGCCCATCCCGTTCATTTTGTTTACCTTTGTTGCCTGCCAACATGGCATCTACTCTCTGAGAGTCACGTGATGTCCGGTGCTCTATAGACTCAAGATGATGTACAATTGTCACATCAGAGGTCCTACCACATCACAGTGGGTATGGGTGGCTGGCCATCCTGGATCGCACCACTGGGAATCAACCAAAAGGGTCAAACAAGCAACAACAAAAACCTGACCTAAGTAAGACCAGAAAAAACAAATTAGTCAGCTGACAAAACAAGTAAAGACAAAGAACACAAATCAAATATGTGACAATTTGATTAAACACACATTCATCATATAACACATCCGTTTCTCAGGGCAATCAAACAACAGGTCAAAGCAATCAATTTAAGTGCACTTAGGTCAAACTGGACAGCAAGGCCAAGTTCAGTTAGGTTCACAAGATTATGTTGTACAACTACTTTCCATACTTTCACAAAACAAACCCATACTTTCACAAATAAAATAAATAAATCACATTGACTCACCACTGAGTAGACCTGTCTAATTACAGCATGAGTGTCTGAATACTGGGTGATGGGTGGTCTGCTGCAGTGTTAAGCAAACAACAGTGAGGCCCACATTTACACTGACTGCAAAAGCCAATTGGACAAACAACTCACCGGTGCATCAACCCTGCTCAGACAGCTGTACACTTAACATGAGTATGAGTTCGGTCTGGAGTTCAGTTGATACTGAATGACTCTAAATCACCAGCTCCGATATGCCACAGCGGAGTGCAAATGAAGCAAAACAGGAAGCACCAGGTAAAGGAGGGTTCTTACAGGCACACCATTAAGGGAGCGGAAGGTGTAAGTCATGAAGTGAAAATGGTGACAGAGCGGCTCCCTGGGTTGCATGTGTTTGAGAGGAACGACGAAACGCGAAACAAAGCTTTGCATGCGCAAGCTGGTTAAGGCTAGGATAGGGGTGAGGGGAATGTTAAATAGCAAGAAGGTAAAGGTCACAATTCGGTCAAAGGTCCGTTTTACCGCGGGTGTCAGATACCGATGACCTGCCACAGCGCGTCGCCACCCGACTCGCAGAGGCTCCCTACGCATCGGAAACAAACGCCTGGTCACACCGCACCATTTTTTAACGCTTAGGGTGTGAGAATGTGTTGTTCTAAAACAAAATGTCTAAAATATCCCTTTCATAGACCCAATTTTACTTCACTCACTCGTTAATAACATACCAGCATTTATCCATCTTCTGATTTACTTTCTTTAACACTTCAAATGTTTTTATCGCATCTAAATGGGCTGAATGTGTTAGAAAATCTATGCATTAAATCTTTTCATCCATTGCAGGGAGAACCTTGCTGCTTGTATTAAATGTTTTATGTGAAACGCCATAAATGTGGACAAGGAGAGCCTCTAGGCTGCTGCAACCAAGCTAATAGGTTGCAACACACTACATTATCTACACAGGGGGAAAAGTGTTTTAAAGTTTGTTTTTCTTTCAGAAAAAGTTGAAACGTAAAATTTGATAAAAAAAAATAAAAGTGATGAGTTCATGTCTTTCAGATTTTCTTAGCATTTTATTATTTAATCTGTGTGAACATCCATCACATCTCTTGTTATTTATTTAGACAGGAAAAAGCCACACACAAACATTTTCCCTTCATTATCAACTGGGCAACATGATGCAGTGGTTTTGTTTAAAAAATTGGTTGTAGTTTAACATAATTGTAAAAAAACAAAAAACAAAATATAAAACAGTTCATTCCAGTTCTTCTATTCCTATTCTATACATGAAAATTTATAAATACTTTATAAATGACTCAAAACATACATTTTTTTTGTTTTGCAATAAATAATATATTTACTGAGACAGTACAACAAAGTATGGCAACATTTCCATTGTCCAACAGTGAAGCAAAATTTTCATCATGCAACCAAACATCTTTGAGCAATATTTCGATGTTTTCCTCAAAGAACAATACATGCAGCATTTTCACAGAAAAACAGTTACGCCACATTTTGATTGAGCAACAGTAAAGTAGCATCTTCATAAATTATATTGCTGTTTGGGGGACATCCATCCATTGGAACCACTGGTTGGTCAGATGCTGATACACAGTGTCATAAAGAACATCTTGCAGAAATAGTCCAGCAATATGAATTCTTCAATGAAGGAGTATAGCGCTCCGGGAGTTGTTGTCACTTCTCCCGGCATGCAACAGTTCAAATCAAAACTGCGCCACATTGGCAGGCAGAAGCCCGCAGCTGGGCTATTTGTTATTGTCAGAAAACTCAATCAAACGGGAAATATGGTAGATTCCTGTTGTGCCCCAGGATGCAGAACAGACGCGGACGACATAAGGGAAGAGCCATCTACAGGATTCCCCAAGATCCGGAGCGCCGCAAACGTTGGATCATTGCAGTAAAACGCGCTAGTGACCGGGCTAAAATGAAACTGTGGGATTCCGAGAGTAAAGGTTTTCACTTATGCAGCGACCACTTCACACCATGTACTTAAACCAACGTTTCCTCAACTGTGTATGGTATTAATTTTAAATGCTTTTATTACGATTCTTAGTGGGCTTCCTAAGCTTATTTTGGCGTGGCTTTTTCTGTCTTATTACTCATAGCAACAAGTAAACATCACGTAAAACGTTGCCTCGTGAGTTCTACGTGCTGCCGTTTACGTGTTTTATGATCACAGCAATTAACGGGCTAAGCTGTATTTAATTTTTAAGCAATGGTTGATCAATTGTCAGATCACACATAGAAAGCACTTTGGATTGCCATTATCTGTCTCACCGAGGCAGATCTCAGACAGATCCTGAGACGCTCCTGCCTGACATATTTATTTTATTCACGGAAAAAAATCAGACTAGTGATTTCTCTTGGCGTTCAGTTTGTACATTCAAACAGCACAGCACTCTATTTAAACTACTTACGTGTAAATCTGTTATTTGTCCATCCATCCATTTTCATCCGCTTATCAGGAGTCGGGTTGCGGGGGCAGTAGACTAAGTCGAGAGGCCCAGACTTCCCTCTCCCCAGCCACTTGGGCCAGCTCCTCCTGGGAAATCCCAAGGGGTTCCCCGGCCAGGTCCGGTAAGAAGTCCGCTCCGACAGCTACTGGGGTTTTTAAAACGTATCTCAGGGGCGTGGTAAGGGTCGGAGATGTTTAGCCTATTTAATTTCTGACTATATAAAACAATTTCTTCGGTTTTAAAGTCTGAAGTAAACTCCGACGAAGTAAAATCCAAGCTGATCCCGTTCATTTTGGTTACCTTTGTTGCCTGCCAACATGGCGTCTACTCTCTGAGAGTCACATGACGTCCGGAGCTCTATAAATTTGTGCAGCAGACTTTATATCCATTGGAGAAAATTCGGCAAAATGTGGGTTTGGTGGTGGCAACTGCATGCAGAGGTGAAGGAGAATGAGGGACAAATGTGTCCGTGTTAAAAAGTCTTTTAAATACACAATATCAATACAAATGCACAAGAGTAAAGACACTACCGTAGACCCTAGACTTGACTGCAATGGTGGCGGGACTCCGCAGAAAAGCTCCACACCCTCTGTTGTCCTGGAAGGGAATTACTCTACAACAGTCCCCAGGCAACAGAGGACTCTGAATGGAAAACGTCTCCCTCTGTGCGTGCGCAAAACTCTGCACTGAGCTGATGGAAAAGTACAAGCTAAGCTTAACTCATCTCATTTTGTCACCCCTTCTGCTAATGGTCCTCTAAGCACCATGCGCCTCATTGCAGCGATGTGTATCTGTTGTGCATTCGTAGCGAATGCGTCACTTTGTTCTAAATGGGGCCTCCATGGATGGTGGGGCCAGAAGCACAGAGTGTTCTGCAAGAAGGAAAGAACGGCACTGCCTGGGGTCAACCCTCATATTCATGCAACAGTCATGGACATTTCTGGGGAACTTTGTCTCCAACTAGGTCCAGTGAGATAATCACCCTATTCCACCTGTGCCTTCTTGTTTCCTTTCTCCTGGTGGACTTTACTTCATGTAATTAGTCCATTAATCAACTACAGGGAACATTTGAGTGTGGACTAACTGTATTGTCTCCCACTGAGCCACCTTTCGTTGCCCCCAAGGCCCCCAGCTGAAGAGGCTGGCTTCCTGATTCATGACCAGGCCCAGCTGAGAAGGGCCCAATCCCATCTGTTAGAGCTGACATCCACATATGTGCACCGTGTGAAGGTCATGCATCCTGATGTGACCACTGACAGAAAGCTTTGCTGTGTTGCCATGGTGATGTGAGCAACAATAGAATGGCTGTAGCGGTTTTGACACCATACCAGACATCAAATGTGCCACATCTCTAGTGACCTTTAAATCAAATTTGAAAAATTTCATGTATTCATCAGCCTTTGAATAAATGCTTCTTATGCTGCACCTTCTGCACTGTAGCTGCTCAGCCTTAAACTTTGTCTTAACCAATTTGCGCATTTAATTTGGTGTTAATTAATTTGTGTATTTTATTTGTAATGTCACCTTGATTTAAATGTTAACGCTATTCTCACTAATGCAAAGCACTTTGAATTGCCCCTGTGAATGAAATGTGTTATACAAATACAAATTAATACAAATAAAGTCGGAAATAAGAGTTTAAGGATTTGCTTTTCTGCTTTTGCTTTCCATCACAAAAAAAAGTCAAATATATCATAATCTGATTTTTTTGTTTTGTTTTTCGTTGGAGCAACTGCTAAATAAACAACATTCCGTTTTAGCACACATTCTGGTTAACCAGCTGTAACTTTGATGTTGTGGTGCTGCTTTTGTAATTGTGTTGTGGCTTTTTGATGTTGGGTTTCATCGATCCTCCTCATTCCCCGTACTCCTAACAAGAAGTGCATTTTAGTTTCAAAATAAAAGCTTCAAAATCGTCGGTACGTTCGCCCTGTGTTGTTTATCAAATTCAAGATAATCACGAAAAGAGCTTCAACATATTCTGGAATGTAAGAAAATGTTTTCTTGGCCTGGCAATTTCCCTCGACTGGCTCAATCAACAGGCTGTGAATTAAAATAAAGTAAAACCTGTGCCTGATGGCTTCTCACCACTGTCCTCCCTCTGGCCATCATGACCCCCCCCCCACACACACCCCACCGTGCCACTACAGTAATCTGCCTCGCTGGCAGACCTGAGCTCATCCCAGCCTGTCTCCCAAACAAGCCGCGGTGTAATTGCTTGTCAGAGCTGTCTGCGTTCCTGTTTTTCTTCTCGCCACCACGCACCTGACAAGAAACACATATTTACACACAAAAATGAAATTACAGGCAATTTTAGAGTGGGAGAGCTGCAAAGGCAACGTCTGCTATCGAGCTGTCTGAGTCAATGAACTCCTCTTTATATTAACTTGGAAAAAAAGAACAAAGAAAGACATAAAAAATACGTAATAGTTTTACTTTTTCATTATTCCACACATTCCTAACTACCTCTGTTCTCTCACGTCTCTTGAGAAAAAAAATTATTTTCATAGTTTATTTTTCAATAATCAAGAACATGGATGTTATTGTATAAAACTGACCAGCAGTAAAATCTGCCTCCAAAGGCATAATTATGTGGAGTAATTAGTAAAATTTGCCGTCATCCACATTAACAACTGAAATTCATTTAGCCTAATTGGTTGCCTCTAGGATATTTATTGTAAATCCAAATTTTATTTAATGTGTTGAAAATCTTTTAAAGATTTTCAATAGGTAGCAGCAGCTAAGGAATTTCCTTTTCTTTTTAATTATGCTTTGTGACTTGGAAAGAAAATATTTGTTCCATTTCTATAGTCTCTGTATCAACCAAATGTGTTTTGGTTCGATTCTAGGGACCAGACAGATTAAAGCATCTTTTTAGATTCATTG